GGGCGCCGCGCGGAGCCCGCCCAGCGCCGCCGGGATCGCTCCTGACATCACTCCGCTCCGCGCCGCTCCGCGCCGGGTCGGGCCGGGCCAACGGCCCCCGGTGCCCCTCGGTGCCCGCCCGGGACAGCCCGCAGCGGCGCGGGATGTGCGGGGTGTGCGCGGGAGTGCAGGCACGAGCGTTGCCGATGGGCACGCGCCGGGTGTGGTGCGTGGGGGTATGGTGCCTATGGGTGCAGGGGGTATGGTCCCTATGGGTGCAAATGGCGTGTGGTTCCTCTAGACACCTATGGAGTCCGAGCCTTATAAGGGTGCTCAGGGAATGTCCTCCCTCCGATTCAGTGATCTGTATGGTCCTTGTAAGGGACTATAAGGTAATTATAGCCCCCCTGTAGGGGCACTGGTCCCTGTAGGTGTGTACAGGGGATTTGATGCCTATAGGTGTGTGAAGCAAGTATTAGGTAATGGTCTCTATAACTAGGTGCAGTGAATTTATCCCCTATAGATGTCTGAGGCCACAAAGTATCTATAGGTGTGTATGAGGGTTACGGATCCTAAGAATGTACGCAGGGATATGGTAACTATCGGAGTGTATGGGAGGGTATGGCCTCTGTTGCTGTGGGTGGACAGGCCCTGTAGGTGTTTGCAGCCTGTTGGAGCAGGTGAAGCCTGTAGACCCATGTGGTCTTCAAGGGTTGACAGAGCCTGGATGTAGAAGTAGGTCTGCCCCAGGCAGCGTAGGAGGCAGAGCTCCCTTCTAGCCCTGGACAGTGCCTGGAACATAGTCCAGGGCCTGGATACCTGAGCCCGCCTGTGTCCTGCTTCCTTGCTGCAAGGGCTCCTCAGGGCAGGAGGAGAAGGGATCACCCACCCCAAACTGCCCTACGCTATTCCCATTGCTCCCGACCAGCTCTCCTCTGAGCTACCTCGTGTTGAGCGTTAGGAATGGACGAACAGTTCCCTGAGTGAGCTATACCCACCGTGACACAGCCAGAGCCACCGCGAGTTTATTAAGGGAGGTTTGAGCCTCCCCTGCAGGTTTCACTGCTGTGAGTCACCGGGCCTCCATGCCAGGATTTCCTCAAAGTTCTGGTTCTTCCCCTGCGTCCGACTGCAAACTAAACTAAAGCAAATATTTTCTGAAGACATACAGGGTGTTGCCAGCTGTAAGGACACACAGAGGACAGAGAGGAATCACAGGAAAAAGGAGTATATGCAGACTGGAACTGAAGTGATACTCTCTAGCTGTAGACAAACAGTCATAGGGAGAGTGGGTATGGGAGAGCGACCGGTGGGAAGGGGAAAACACCCCTGAAAATCTCCTCACGTTTACTTCACACCCTGTGAAACATTTTCTTCAAGGTGCATAGGTTTAAAAGTCTGCAGCTCACATTCAGGGGAATTTTCTATCTATATGGGAAGAGCCTTGGGCTGTGAAGCTGGCAAAGGAGGCAATGGCTCTAGCCTAAGTCTGCCCTGATGTTGCAGATCCGCTGGGGAAATCAGGCAGTCTCCTCATTCCCATCTCTTCATTCATTTTGGTTCAGTGATGTGTCCAGATCTCACTGGTGATTCAACAGCCTCAACACCCAGCAGTGACTGGCTCCAAGCTTGAAAGTGAAGTAGAAGGAGCTCAGGTGATGTGCGATCAGCCAGGAAGAGTTGGTGTGAACTGGTTTAACACAAATACCCTTCTGAGCCCTGCAAACCCAGCCCAGCTCACCTGGCCTGCAGCCGCTCTTTGGGAAGGGTGGTCCCAACATAGGGTGTTTTCCATAACTTTATGTCAAATGTTGCAAATCAGCTTCCTTCCTAGCGGTTTGACGAGGAAGCAGCAGGCTTGGCTGATGTTGGGTGGGCATCTCCAAACATGTACAAATGTACATCTCCCCCTTATATGATTCTTTCCTGCATATGGATCCAGAAACCAAGGCCTTTGCTAAAGCACTGTTCTAGGGAGAGGTGCTATCACTTAGAGAAAGCCCATCATTCCCTCATACATGGGCAAGACTGCTTGTTGAAGGCAGTGTCCTATGACAAGATCTGTATCCTTGAGACAGAAACAGTGTTGATGCTCATCTGTCCTTTAGCTAAGTATTACAAGGACACAGGAAATGTCTAGCAGAAAAAATATTCCTGGAGAATAGCACAAAATGTTAAGTATTCAGCTCTAGAGGCTATCTGGGGTCAGAGACTTGGCTTTTTTTTTAGTCCATCTGTAGAGTATCCAGCACTGTGGATGTGACCTGGGCTCCACAGGTTGCTGTGAAGCTGCTTCTGCTGTATGGGACCGATGTATTGATGAAGCATCCGGATACCTCTGCCTCCTTCTACTCAACATATCGTCACAACTAAGCATGCTAAAGAAGGAAGAAGTCTCCATAGGTCTCCCTTATAACTCCATTGCCTTGCTCAAAACTGAAGTAATGGGGTGGATGAGGATTAAGGATCCTGGTCCAAATTAAACCATGATGACAGTGATGGGATACTCAGGAAAGATGACTCTGGTTACAGCTCCACTCCTTAACTTCATCCCCACTTGTGAGTTGCTACAAAATCTCTATCACTTCCTCTTTTATCTCAAATCTCATCCTTCCTGGGTTGTTTTTATCAGCATGCCTGTTTTCAAGTTGCTTTTTTGTTTATCTTCTTTTCTGGGTGCTTTCATCTCCTAGAAATCCTATGGCTCTTGGCAGTGAAGGGAAGTGCAGTTTCAGCAGCTTCTATTTAATCTAATTCACGCACAGAATCATTCACCTTTAGCCTGTTTTCCCTACCAACACTTGTTGGACTCTGATGACTTTGTGAAGAGTTTATAATGAGTCTGATGTACTCAAAAGCTGATTCTTTCTCATCAGGGGATTAAATTGTGAATCTTTATTAAAATGAGCTCAACACTTTGGACCTAATTTTTTCTTCTAAAATTAATGTAGCCACAAAAAGCTAATAATAGGAGTGCTTGGGATTATTTCCTACGAAGCTGGATTCTTCCTTGCTTGACTAGGTATCAGCTTGCTTCATGAATGTAGAGGAGGGACAGAGGGGATCCCAACTCTGTTGTAGGCAGAAGGCTGCTAATCCCCAGGTATAAGACAGACAGACAGTAGATAGAAGCCAGACACACTGAGAAGTGTGATGGGGACAAATACAGGGAGAATGGACACTGAGAGGACAGGGCACACATGCAGTTACAGAACTATGGGCAGAGCCAAGTGGGATCAGTTGCCTATGCACTGTCCTGAACAGCTGCTTCAAAGAGAGAAAAAACAGACCTGCTCAGACAAGGGACATTTCATTAGCTTTTAGCAGATTGTTTATTCCCTGCAGCCTGAGAGAATCCTGTGTTTTAGATAGTTTTAGATAGTTTTAGAATATCCTTACACTTACCTTATCTTATTACTCTCTGACTCCTCCCACCCACCTAGCCACAGTGGCAGGGAATGTCACAAGTTCATGATGTCAGCAGTGATGTATGTGTCCGTCTTCAGGGCATTTCCACCTCTTAAGCCTCTCTCAGTTAACCTCTCTCGGTTGTTGACAAGGGGAGGTGGGCAAGGCGATTGCCATGGCCGTTGACATCTGTGTACACAGTGTTCTAGACAACTCACCCAGCTGGGCAGCTTGGGGGATCAAAATGCTGGTGCCGTCCTTAGCAGTGTTGGCAGCAGGAGGTGCCACAGGCGTGGAAAGCTCCAGAGACAGGTTCAGGGAGCTTTGGTGAGTTGCTTCATCAATGCACTTGTACTGCAACTCATTTAAAATGCCCATTTGAGCCATTTGTAAGCAAAATACGAATAAATTTTTCCTGCCAATGGTTGATTCCTCATTATCCATTCAGATCTACTTACAGAACAGGCTGCAGAAAATATTTTGATTCTGGCAGATATTCCACCCCCCTGGAAAGTCCTAGGGTGACACCCCCAGGGGTAGCGCTGTCACGCGGTGTCTCCTCATGGGAGAAGCTCTGACACAAAACTGACAGGCTGGTCCCACAAGGGTCCTCCAGTAAAGCTCTGTGGCCTGAAGAGTGGCAGTGATGATGCCTGCAAAGCTCATTCATTCACCTTCATACACCTTTCGTTTTCTCCCTGGTTTGAAATCCTGTTAAAAAAAACAGCACTTATGTGAAGAGAGGGAGAAGGGAATACAGAGACATGGCCTTCTTCTCCTTTACTGTTATCTGCTGTGAAATGTTTTTTCTAGACCTATCCAGAACTTCAGGGAGGACATTTCAACCTGTCTTGACTTTCTCCAGACTGGGTAACTCAGCCTGCCAAGGGAAAAGTGGCAGTGAGGTGTTAGCATGAGGATGTCTTGCTCGCGTATTGGGTTCTGGTGGTTATTTTTCTTCACCTCGCTATATTGTGAACAGAAGCCAATCCTATGAGAGCTTTCTTCTTGAGCATCGTGACTACCACTCTCGTTATTTCCATTGCCATTACGGAACGATGCTGTTGGCACTGCCCTCACAGCCACAAGAACAGACTTCCCCTCCTCTGCCCCGGACCTAGGAGGACACCATTCCCTCAGTATCCAACAGATACAGTTTTCCCAGGGAACCAGGCAATCCGTCCACTCAGATTATCCTGTGTCTCAAGGCACTTCATCATCAGCTAGTTTGAATCAGGAAGAACTGTCCAAATAAGCAGAGAAGCAGATGTAAGGAACCAGTCTGCAGGCATCCAACACTGTGCACAAGTCATTACCTGGCCACAGGCTGGATGCAGATCATAACGTAAAATGAGAGGTTTTAACGTGGGTGGTGGTGATCACAGGTTTTCCTCCTAAGTGAGAAATAATATGGTGAGGAACTTAGATATCTTTCTCTCCTGACATGGCTTCTTGGCTCTATAATTCTGCAGGCTCTGTGTTCTTGCCCTCTTCATCGAGGATGCTAAGGATAACACAGGATCAGGCAGGGTCAAGGTGATGTGAATAGCATTTGATTTTCTCCAAAAATCTTAGATAAGGGAGATCTTTTTCTGGCAAGACAGTTTTATATAAATCTATTCATCTGACAGTAGAAACCAAGGGGCCTGCCACAGGTAGGAAGATTGTGTGATCTCAGATGTCATCTTCTTACAGACCACCCAGGACTGTCATGTTCATTGCTACCCATCCCACACATCTTGACTTATCCTCGCAAAAAGACTTCAGCTCCTCTCTCAAGGCTGGAAACAATCCAGACCTCTTGGGCTGACAGACACATCTCTGCTTAAGCACTCCCAGCTACTGCAACACAGGAAAAGAAGCATTAATTCATTGTAACCCTGAAGACTTATGGGCTCCAGCAAATTCAGGCTATACTCCTACGTTCACAGAATGAAGCAACACTTGACTTATTAGGCTCAATTGCTCAGACTCTGGACTTAAGCAGCACCTCCTGGACTCCTAGATTTTCTGATGCATCTGTCAAATGAATAAATAGGGTGGAAGCCAGATCACCAGGATCATAAAATGCCATCAAATCACTTACATCTATGTCTGTGGCCATGATAAAGAGTGCTTTTTTTTTCTTTTCTTTTTCTGCTGTCACTTGTACTTCAAAAAGCTTTGAATCATTTGCACAGTTGTGTAATGTACACTGCCCATAGCAGAAGTGAGCATCAGTCCTGGAGAGAACTATCCCGCTGCTCCATTGAAAACAATAGCTTATCTGGGAGAACCAGTGAGGATCACCTTTTAGGACCTTTTCTGCATTCCTGAACACCAGTGGAGATTCTTGGAAATACATCAGCTCACAACTAGTGATATCTGACACCAGACATTAATGTTTACCTCTTAAACCTAACTGAGCACTTGACTGAGACAGCCAGTGCTTATTTCAGGGAAGGAACTTCTTTGCTTTTCAAAATATTCAACAGCCTCTTAGGAATACAAAGGTAAAGCATCTGAATTTGAGAAAGGCAGAGATGATGCCAAGCAGATGGGAATAGTTGGATGGTTTACAGCCAGGGTTCAGCCTGCTCCGAGGAAAGGTCACACGCACAACTACTCTGTACCTTTTCTAGATTCAGATTGCCACTGTAATGTCTGCTTGCTTTATTTTTTTTCTGTTATACTAATCATAAGATAAATTTTCTCTCATTTCTCATCTGTGAGAAGTCTCTGTTCCCTCTTGCAGATGAGTGTACTTAGGGTACCCAGAATGACCTCCTTACAGAGGTTAAGGATCATTGCCACCTGCTACTGCTCCAGGGTTCACAAAACACATTCATTAACATAAACACACACAAAAAAAAAACAAACAAAAATGATAAGTGATAAGATATGTGACTGCACAAGCTTTTCCTGAAGGGAGCACAGACACTGTGCTTACACTACCTCTAGAGGAGGCAAAGAAGCTACTGTGGTGGGCACATAGTAAAATCCTATAGTTAAGATTAGAATAGAATAGAATAGAATAGAATAGAAGTAGAAACAGAAATGTTGTTTAGCAAAAGTAGGCCAGGTCGTTGGCATTGTGGGACTAGAAGACTGCTAAAATGGAGGCTGCAGCTCAGCAGAACAATTGGATTCCTGTATTTTATGCCTAGCCTATCAGGCATCCTTTGTAGTCAGGACATGGAGACAGGGAAGCTGTGCTGCCTGAATTTGCAAAAGCTCCTTAGGAAGAAACTAAAGTTCTGGGTTTAAAAAAAAAAAAAAAAAAACAGTCTGATGTGCTTACAGCGGGTGTCACACAGACAGCAGTGCTGGATGTGCTCCCACCACGCTGAGCCCTGTGGCTGAGTCAGGCCCCCTGGAAAAGAAGGGAGCAGGAATATTTGCCCAAGCTCTGTGTGACTGTGATGGCAGGATTCACGCTGGTGGATTGACTTGGTCTTTCCCTGTGCTGTAGCTAGAAGCCATCCCTGGTGCCCAGGTCATGGATAGAAAGCTGCAGGTCTGGTGTCAAGGAGAAACAACAGTGCCTGGGCCGCTGCGGCCACGCTGAAGCCTGGTCCCATAGACCACGTACACGGTGACCTCAAGTCTGAGGGACTCTGAGACTGTCTGTCCTAGTGGTGTCCATTGACCATAGTCCTCTGGCTGCCTGCTTGAACCAGCTGGGGCAGCATCATGATCCTGCTTGATATTCCAGCGGATTTTCCTGTGCTACCTATATTCTACTCTTGGGGTGATGTGACCCAACTTTCATATGGAAGTATCATACCTTCCCTGGCAGGGCTTGGCCTGGGATCTTTTCATTGCTCCCTCTAAAGGGAGTAACTGTAGTTAGGCCATGGGAGGACCAAAACCTGAGATGCCTTCAAATCTAAGGGGATTTTTCTGGGCTAGTTGTCTCCTTCACTGGGGAACTCATATTTTTATGATACTCAGTCCATGATCTTCACCATCTGTGCCCCACAGAGGCATCACGATCCTTGTCCACATTCCTACCCTGCTGGTCAACCTCTGAAGTACCCACATCTGGAAAGCCCAGGCACCCAAGACCCCATCACACCAGCTCCCAGTCCTCTACTTTTCCTACTCACAGAGCATCAGGACAGCATGAAGCCAGAAGCAGAGATGCACAAGACACCAATCATCCCTCCTCCTTGCAGTGGGAGAAGTGCTGGGATGAGGAAGAATTCTGGAGCAGTTCTGATGAGATTTAAAGGAGAAAGAATATTTCACCACATTATGGCCACAGTATCCTTATGAGCTGGACTTTCTCGCTTACTCTGGTGGGCTCCAGCAGCATCCGTGATTTCACACTTGCCTATATAAGAACCAGGCCCATGCGCATTGTAAGTGTCAGTACTAGGCTTAATGCATGCTAATGTGCCAGGAAGCAGAAGGAATATGGGAAGGGCTGCAGGAAAAGCAGGTCTCAGAGTGACCTGGTAAGAGACAGACTGCTGAGGAGAACAGCCGAACCGGGGCTCACCGCCCTTCTTTGCAACTGTTATATCGGCAGGATAGATTTCTGCATAAGGCAAACGAGTTACTCAAGCATGGCATGGCCTTCAAAACACACAACTTATCCTGTCTGCTCTTTCTGTTGGGTGCTGTTTCTCTTTGCAGCTGAGTACAGGTGAATGTCTCCACAGTGGGAGAAACCTCGGATCATCTGGACGGCGCTCAGGGTGCTCTAGTGTTTTCCAAGGCTGTGAATGAGACCAAAGATAGCCTAACCCCAGGTTTACAAAAATCAGAGAAGACAAAGGAATGGGAACATTGCTTGCACAGCAGGACTGGATAAATTTTGTGCATGTAGCAATGCCAAAACGCCGAGCAGGAGCAGGAGATGTAGCATGCTGAAGGCAGGCGCTGTTGCTTGGGCAGGGTGCCCTTACCACATCCCTGGGGCTTGTGGAAACTTCTTGCCTCTTGGTGCTACCGCCACTTCTGCTATTTAACAAGCCCAAAACATATGCTGGGAGTGGAATTGCTGCTGTCAGCAGCCGGCACGACGGCTCTCGGAGCAGTCCAGAAGAGGGCAGGCGTTATCCCAGCTGTTTTCCGAGCTCAGCGTGCAGGAGAGCGGAGCACGGATGCGCTGGAAGGACCATATTTTGTCAGGACTTGTGGTTCTGAGAACATCAAACTACTTCATAAAATTGGGTTAGTTTCACCATAAATGCTGCCTGGGAAGGATTGGAGATGAAAGTAAGACTGCATCTGTTTTAGTGTTCTGGTTAGGTAAGTGCAGAGCACACTTGCCAGGTTTTCATTTGAAATTCTCTTTCACTCCCTGCATATATTTCAGCTTAAATGCCCATAGAAATGAGCACAAATCGAAGGCATGGTGATATTTCTGGAAATGCTCACATGATTCAAGG